AGCCCTCTCTGTTGGCACGCGCATCGTCACCCCAGTCCTAGGCCTTCAGCTGGGTTTTATAAAACCTTTTTGCTTTAGGCCTCCGCCGCCGTGTGCAAAAAAAAAAAAAAAAAAAAAAGGTTCAATCAATTTCAACTTCTTGTGGGAAAAAAAAGATCTCGCAAAGTTGAAATTGATTGATTGAACTTTTTAGTCCCACCCAGTCTGCCGTTACCACCACAGCCACGCCCACCCAATGAGCCATGCCCACCCAATGGGCCACACCCACCCAATGAGCCATGCCCATCCGGCACCTGACGATACATAAGTGGGTTTTGGGTTGCAGTTTGGGCACTCAGTCTCTAAAAAGTTCGCCATCACTGGCATAGCTGGTCAATTTGCAAGCAAATTAATTTTTAGTTGCCTCACCGACTACTTCCTCTTTTGGCAGAGCATAGGGATTTCCCATAGGAATAGGAAAATATTCCTTGTATTCTACTGCTATCTAACCTTGTCACTTGCTCTTTAGACTACAGTGGTCCAAAGGGAAAAGTCAGCTTGTTAGGGGGAAATTCAGCCTTTAAACTGTCCTTTCTTGACAGAAGAAAAGCACAAACAACATATTCATGTTCCAAGGATGGAAATACTGTCCTTGCATGTAGGCAGAATTGTTCATGACCTAGGAAACAGGAACCATATTTCTCAAGAGCTGAATGCCAGATGCCAGCTCTCATGCCAATCCAACTCTTCTATGGACAGGCTCCTCTTGGGCTCAGAGGGTACTTACTGTTTCAAAGACCGCATTCTGTTCAGCAGGAGCAAATAGTAATTCCTGCCCCTCTTCCTCCCGTACAGCATCCATTCCTTCCTCCTCATACTCAGTTAGATAATCTGACTCTTCTCCTGGTTGTGGACAAAAAAAGGCTTTGGTAAACTTTTATAACATTTTCTTCCTCATAGCACAGAAACCACCTTCAATTCTTTGCTTAGTAGCCACTTCTACGTGTAAATGGATTTCTCCCATTTTATTCTGGAGCACAGGGTCAAGTATACACAGAAGTCAATTAGGCTACTCTTATTAAGTCTTTGGATTAGCAGAAAGGTGTCTCAGGACCACTTGCTGAGTTGGGATGAACTCAGTGCTATGACATCTAAATTGAACTCAGTAAACACTGATACTGTACTCACCATCGGCATAGCTCTCAGACAGATAGCTCTTGGCTGGCTCAATGCGAGAGATAATCTCTGCCAGATCTGTGAATCCTCCACTAGGACACATCAACACCTTGGGAATGAAAAGAGATGCCAACATTATCTGAAGCTATCTTGCCACAACCTAGTTGTGCAATTTAAGTCTGATTCAATTTGAATATTCACATTAATTTGGAAAACTGATTTGATTTTACCATTTGAACTGATCTGGAAAATCAGGTCTGACTACATTAAATTTAATTTGAAACACTGTAGACCTAGATCAGGTAAGTTACTGCTGTAACTCTGAGCACTCTGGATAGAAAGACTGGGTATGATCCATTAAATAATATTGCTGGGCAACTTTGACTCATTATTCCATGAACCATATGATACCTATTTAAGCACATCTGCACTTCTCAACCTTTATTTTTTGGGAATAGCTAGAACTCTGATTCTTTATTATTACTTCAGATATTTTTTTTCTAATTAGCAGGAGAAGTTACAAGTAGACAAAATTTTGGCGGTTCCTCCCCTTATACTTACATCCATGCGTTTGCTCTCATAGAAGTCTGCTGAGTGCCGGTCCTGAACCATTTTTTCAATTATATCACTGCGGCACCAACCACCAAATACCACTTTTCCATGCTGATAACCTACATCCTAAAGGAGAGGGATAAAGAGAAGTCACTCCAGAATAGAGGTAGTCCTCAACTTATGACCATAACCGAGCCCAAAATTTCTGTTGCTAAGCAAGACAGTTAAGTGAATTTTGGCCCATTTTAAGACCTTTCTTGCCACAGTTGTTAAGTGTATCACTGCAGTTGTTAAGTTAGTAACATGGTTAAGTGAATCTGGCTTCCCCATTGACTTTGTCAGAAGGTCACCAAAGGTGATCAAATGACCCCCTAGACACTGCAAGTGACTTAATATGAGTCAGTCACCCAGCGTCTGAATTTTGATTACATGACCACAGGGATGCTGCAATGGTTGTAAATGTGAAAAATGGTCATAAGTTATTTTTTTCAGTGCCATTGTAATGTTGAATGGTTACTAAATGAACTGTTGTTAGTCAAGACTTCCTGTATTGTGATCTCTAGGAATATTTCAAGAAATGATCTGTACTAGACTTCAGATCAATTGGAACTAACATTAATTCCAGCTAACATACAAAGCAAATCTAGGATCCAATTCTCAAGAAAATGAGCCAAAGGAAGTCAAACATGTTTCAATAAGACTAGAAAAGTGTACCCAATACAACTTTATTCCCTGCATCTCAATGGAAAAAACTAGCCAAGGGCATTTCTGCAGGCAGTAGTTGTTTGGGATCTTATAGTGCGGAAGGGGCAAATCAACAATTTTACACGGTTATGTATCCAGGTTAAAGGGATGATGTTAAACCACTGAAGATAAGATAATCTTTATTGTCATTTTTACTGTGGGCACAACGGCACACATCAAAAATGAAATTTAGTTGCCTGCTCTCAAAGTGAAACACACATATGATGCACACCTAAACATACTATATACAACTTATGTACAGACCCACACCCCTACATATACATATGAAATAAATATTAAATACTGTCTATCTTGAATATATAACGGAAGGAGGAAGCTTGAGAGTTCACAAGGTTAATGCTGTATGGAATGAAACTATGGCTGAATCTGGATGTTCTGCTTCAGATACCACGAAGCCTCCTCCCAGAAGGTAACAAGGAAAACAGGTCGTGAATAGGATGTGTTAGTGTCCCAGATAATCTTACGGACTCTGCTCAAGCAACTCTTACATGCTATGTCCTGGATGGAAGGGAGGGAACTGCCAATGATCTTTTTGCCATCCTCACCACTTTCTGCACCACCTACCTACTTTCAAGGACACAACTTAGCCCTCCAATCTAGGAATTTTTAAAAATACTTCTGGGTATAGCCAGTTAGAAGGCAGAAATATAGAGATTAGAGGAAAATTTCCAGATTATCTGAATGTATTGCCTCTAGATCAGTGTTTCTCAATCTTGACAATTTAAAGGCATGTGGACTTCAACTCCCAGAATTCCACAGCCAGCATTGCTGGCTGTGGAATTCTGGGAGTTGAAGTCCACATGCCTTAAAATTGTCAAGGTTGAGAAACACTCCTCTAGATGAAGAAGAGGATTGGCAATTTAAAAAAAAAAAGGAAGGCTTTCAGTTTTCCGCTGTCATATATTCGAATGCGTTTCCAGTTTGGTGATCCCTGACAGAAGCCTACAATTTGGGCAAAATGTAACTGCCAATCACTAGGATTTAGATTAAATCTTGAGACTGATTTGAATGACAGCTCATTCTTGGAATGTACTGTATGCTGGAGAGATTTAAATTTTAAAAAGTATGCTAAAGATGCTGTTTTCTCTTTGATAGTGGATAACAGATTGCAAAGTTGGTCTTTCTCGGTCCTGTGAATCAGCAAGATGAGGCTGCTTCACAGCAGCCCTTTGAATGTAGCAATGCCCCCTTTATGATTTATTACTGTGAAATAACAGCTGGCCCTCAAACTCACATAGATTTCGTCGAACTTTCCGAAGTCCATGGTTTTGAAGCGATCAATGGCAGGGCGAATGTACTCGCAATATGAACTGCTCTTCACCACTTCCAGCTGTCGCACACATGAGACATAAGCTAGGCGGGACTGAATTTCCGCCATGTCAGGTACCTGAAAGGCCAAGGTGCTCATTGGTCACAGAGAGATATGTGAGGAGATTCTCCGCTGAGCTTCCTTAATCAGCTACCCCTCCTTCTAAATAGCCGCATGTAGATTGCACTGCAATGGTCCAAATGGGAGATGAGTAAGGCACAAATGGCCATGCCCAGGACCTAGAAAAGGGTATAACTGGCATACAAGATGGATTTGTTCCTCTTGGTTATGGTTCTAACATGATTATGACCCCAGTGAAAGAAAGACAGGATGGTAAGATGACTCTGAGAAACAACTGAAGAATCTTAATAATCACACTGAACTTGCCAGGAATATTAGAAGTATTTTCCAGTCCAACCCAGCCTGAAGAACAAGCTTAGAAAGACAGAGCATATAAGCTATATCTGTAACCAGCCTATGGTAATCTTGTGCTATTAAGATATGCTGCTTTACAGGAAACCACTGTATTGTGAAAGGCTTCTGTGAGTCAAGGGCAGCATTTAATATGCCAATCTGTTAACAATTCTGCAGATTTTTAGAATTATTCTACTTCTAGGTATTTAATAAATATGATTGTTATGTAATGAAAAGTGTTATCTGACCCACTTAAAATACCATCCTATACATGAACTTTGCTCCTGGAAGGCTTTAAGATTTTGTGGAAGCTTTATTAGATAAGATAAACTACCACCATGAGAAAGATGCCAATGGAAGACCCCAAATTAGAGACAGAACTGGCTCTAATCCAAGACATCCAAGCAAATGTAGCAGAAGAAGCCAGAGGAGATTTATTTTCACGTACACTATTCTCACAAGATCTCTAGTATTCATGCAATGACATTTTATGCGGTGGTTTCAGCAAATAAAAACAGAGAAAGATTGAGAAACATTGTAATTTAAATGCTTAAAAAATGTAACAGAAACAATTCCTTGAAGAGAATTCACCCAGCTAGTATCAGACTGGCATATCCAAGCAGGAATCTCCACCCACAAGCTACAGGAGAAAGAGAGAGACTCACCTTGACCTTCTCAGCCCAAGGGTTGAGACGTTTCCACAGCAACCACCAACCTGACAGACTATCCCCATAGTTGCAGAGGTCAGTCTCATCCTGGCTTCCCACATCAATGGCAATGACTGTCTTGGCACCCATGTTACGAGCAATGTCAGCTACATTTAAGGGAGGAGAAAGAGGGAAATGTTTCAGGGGAAAGACAATGTGAAGAGACAAAAGCTAAGAACATGCCGCCACCACCACCAAATCAGAGAGTTGGGGAGAACATTCTTTGATGTTGTAGAAGGTAATTCCCTCTGACCAACTTTCCTTTCTCAGCATTAACATCAATCAATTGGGCCTCCTTTATAGGAAAAGCGGTTTGTCATCATGAATATAATTTCTTTGCCCTGCTGAAAACTTTGGAATAGCAACCTCTTAACTAGCTACAATTGGTCCTAGAAGGGACTGCATCTCCCTTTATATTTATTTTTGGAGAAAGTTCTAGACCAGGGGTGTCAAACTCACAATGTCATGTGATGTGTCCCAACGTATCACAACTTTTTTTTGCCATTGCTGGCAATGGAGTGGGCGCGGTTTCACTATGATGCATTTGGCCTGTGGGCCAGCAGTTTGACACCCCTGGTGTAGACAGAAAGAAGGACAACTTGTATAACTTAAGTGTTATTTAATAAAGCAACACGAAGCAGCTGACATGCTTTTAGTACTGGGCAAACATTTATGGAAATAACTGTGTATTACATAGACAGCAGAAGAGTTGGCTTTTTCTATTCTTATTTAGACATTATTCTTATAGGCTCTTAAGAGCCATAGAATAACAGTAATGAGGGAGAAATCCTGCTGCTTTAGCTTTCTCTAACCTGGAGTCTTTCAAACTTGCCAACACTTACATTTTGAAATTCCTAATCAGCATAGCTTTTAATGGGAGTTAAAATCCCAAATACCTGGAGGACAGCATGTTGGAAACTTAACTGTTAATTCAATTATATTAAATAGTATACCAGCTCTTTTAGCCAGGCCCAATTATTTGTAACTTCCCATTTGAAACTTGCATGTTGGTTTAAAATGGCATCTACTCTGTGGCTTGCAGAATGTTCAAGTGCAAGTACCTTCATGTAAAACTGAACACAGTGGCCTTTTATTATTATCCCATATTGGGGGGGTGGTGTAGATAATGGTAAAAATGTGAGGTAATACCTCCTTGTATTTTCAGAGGCAACAAGCAGATAAACAGAGGAAGAGGTTTAATATTCTTCATACTAGTTGCGTAGTTACAAAAATATAGCAAAGAATATACAATGTGGTCAATTTACAAAATGCTTCAAACTTAAAGCACACAAAAACTTACTTGCTGGAATGGACAATATGGCAAATACACAACTATTATTTCTCAGAAAACCAAGCAACAGAAGAAGCAAAGCCAGCTCAGGTTTGTTAAATCATAGCCTCTCTCAGTTCAGGCCTGAAAAGGCCTTTTCCAAGAAAAAAAGATTGCTTGTCCAGCTAGGAATGATGCTGAGAAAATGGTGAGTGAAACAGACTTAAAAAAGTTTACATAAATAAGTGAAGATCTAGAAAGCAAATCACTTTAGAAAAATCGTGATAAGGAAATAAGTAAGCTTAGCTCCAGGGATCCAAAATTATAAAGAAAACACCAGAATATGCTGATATTTCATGGACATTTCAAGAGAATGAACCAGCGAGCACATTTATTTGTTCCCGTTAAGTACAGAAACAAGAAAATATGTACCTAAATTTAAGAGAAATATCTGGAAAAGAACAATTTGCACTAAAGCTAACATATAAAGACATGACAAATAACGTATCTAGAATGCTTAAGAAATCATTCATTGGAACCAAAAAGTAGGTTTATGGTCCATTGAATGATTATCTAAAACTCTGTGAATTCTGTCAGTTTACATACCTGCCACTTGCAGGGCATGTGCTGGGCAAAATGGAACAAAGCTTCATAAAAAGTCATCTGAAATGCAAACCTTGGGAGAAAATGTGGAGATTATAGTTTGGTGAATATTCAGAACCAAACTAAGGACTATACAGGACATCCACCAGTCTCCCAGGGTCTTTATTTCATAAAAAGTAACCATACTGGGGAAGGAAGTCTGGGGCATGAGGGGAGATCTACCTCTTTTTCCAAATGCAAATTCTGTATTCCCAGGGGAATACAGAGTAACAGAGTTGAAAAGGATCATCGAGGTTTTCTAGTCAACCCCTGCCCAAGCAGAAGACACTATGCTATTCCAGACAAATGGGGGGAAATATGCAGTGGCTTATATAGTCTGTGATGTTTTCCATCTACAGCCAAGAACAAATCATGGGGAAGAACAAAAATTTCCATCAGGGAAATGATATTAATCCCCTCTTGCTCACACAGAGTGGGATGGCTCTCAGTGAAAGCCCAACATCCCAGATTCTTGCAATTTAAGCCAAATTTTGTTTTCTGACCATTTAAAAATAGTAGCAAAGGAGACCCTAAAAATGTTTTCATTACTCCAAGTACTGCCGCCTTAGTTCAATTCTCATCTCTTAATCCACCTTTTAATGGCTTCTATTGGAAGTCTTTGATCAACCACATCTTATTTGGTTGCATGATAACAACAACTGCTCTCTCCCAGCCTGGTGAGCAATGCCAATCTCACTGGACCCAGCAATGGACAATCTGTCAAGTGAGCCAAAATATCTTCTATAGATCTTTTCTTCTTTTGAACTTCTCCCTCTAGTGATCAGCAGCCCAAACTATAGCTGGCCAAATATTTCTGACACTGCATTTGTAAGCAGAGCTCAGTGGTAGCTTGAATGGGAATCAGAACATCTGATCCTTAAAATTAAGACAATCTTAGCCTGCTCTCTGGCAGCTACTACTTCCACAGCATGCAGCAAGGAAACTGCATGGCAATACAACTGAGTTAACCCCTTCACTCCAACTCAGGTTTTCCTAGTAGGATGTCTCAAACAGAAGATGCATTCTCCAAGTTACATGATTTGGCTCTGGCTTTCATGATTTTTCATTTGCTGTTTCCCCCCCTCATTTAGGTGAAAAACTTAATTAGGCTTTAGTATGGTGATGGTGGTAGGACATTGCTCATGCCTTTCAAACTTTTGGGTTACATTTTATCTAAGTTTTCTTATATCTGTTTTGCTTTTCTTACACAAATTTGTTATTTAAGCTATCAGTGTTTCAAACACAGTGAAAATCTATTCTGAGAAGCTTTGAATCCCTTCCTTTGTGGCCAGAAAGCTCCAAATGGGCTCTTGCTAGTTTGATAAAGTCACCAGTCTTAAAAGTCTCTCTTCCCATATGGCCTCCTCTGGTCCAGGTTAGAGACCAGAAGACAATGAAATCCAGACAGATGTAGCCGACATGCCCTGAGAAGATAGCAGGTTTCACTTGGGGTCTCCTAGGTGCAATATCTTCTTTCTTACTAAACTCTTCCCCTCCTTTGGCACAGATGTCTTTAAAGTTATGAATTTTTATCATCTGGAGGAGCAGTCAACAAAGAGTTCCTGCCAGCACAACAAAGGCAGTTTGAATGAAATCTGAAAAGGTAATCTGGCAGCCACCAGAACCTTTTGCATAGATCTCACAGCAATTGCTGCTGACTTATTTCACAGAAAACTGGGATTTAAGTGGTTCCTTAAGCCTGCCCCCCCTCTCCGCACCAGGATATTTGCTTGGTATTTACAGCAGAAAATAAGAGAGCTTCAGGGTGAAATAATGGAAGCCAGCCTCAGACCAGTCAGGCATCACAGCCATCCTTCTCCTCCAGCAGATGGCTGCCCTGCTGTTACCAAGAGTGCCCAATACTTGCCTGGAAGGTTGTTGATGTAGCCGCCATCCATCAGTAAATTGCCGTCCTTGGGGTCGCAGAGTGGCGGTAGGTACCCGGAAAGGGTCATGCTAGCTCGCACATACCGCCACAGCGAGCCTAACCATGTGGGAACAAATGCAATCAGAAGAACAGAGAGACACCCAGAACAGCAACGAACCCTTCAGAGAGGGATGGATAGAGGTACAGCCCAACTTCAGCCCAGCTGCTCAGGCAGAATTCTGCACAGCAGTTTATCAAGCAGCCAAGTAATATGCAGCCATCAGATTCATCACCCTGAGCCCACATGTGGCTGGGTAGCCCGCTAAGCTTCCAAATCTACCTGGAAGCCAAGCAAGGTAATGCTTTGCATGTACTACCTAACAACCTAGTTTTCTGTGCCATGCAGAATTGCTGGCCTGAGCAAAAAGTGGCTGTGGGCAGAATCTAGGCTTGCCACCCCAAGCTTGTCATGCCCAGCCCTAGCAAAAGAAGGATGACAGTGGTTCAGAAGGAGGAAGCCACATCAATTCACTGCCTCCATCCCTCTGACCCACCTGCATCCCCAATGTCCATCAGCCAAGATAGTGAGGCAAATGTGACGCTAACCTGGGACATTGTTAACATAGCAGCCATCCACAAGCAAGTGACTGTCCTTGGGGTCGCAGAGAGGAGGCAAATAGGGGGTATAAGATGCACTGGCCCGGACGTAGCGCCACACGCTGCCTGCTGGATGAAGATGGAAATTCAATCAAAGGGAAGGTGGGAGAGGAGGAAAAGAAACAGAGCACAGGACAGGAAGTGACATCATGAGAGAAACTTCAGAAAGACAAAATGCACCTGGGACAAAAGGGGGTTTATGGAATGCTTTCCTCAATGTAGCACCATCTTCCTGCACAACTGGCTTTCCCCTTTCAACTAATGTTCCTTTCACCTCTTGTAGGTAAATATATCATTCCTAATCTTTATTGATGAGGGTTTTGATGAGAACTATAGTTGTCATGGGTAACTCCATAGTTATGAGTAGACAACATTTCCTGGTCCCTGTGACCCAGTACTCTGACACCACATGGATTAATCTGTCCTTGGCAAGCCATTTTTCTCTCTTGCTGCTCCCAGCCATTGGCCCAAGGCACTCAAAGACTAGGACTCACTACAAGACAGTCTCAAATCAAGGGAGTCCAGATTTATGGGGAACAGTAAAATCCCTTCTTATAGGCAAGCATATACTGCAGCAATACAGAAAACTCAAGAGAAATGGTTCTACAATCCATCAAGATCAAGAAGTCATGCTTCAAAACAGGAGGCTGGACTCTCTGATCACAGGGAAGCCAGATAGCTCCTGCCTATAAAATGGTCACAGAGGCTTACTTGGATAAAAAAGAATGATAAAGGGAGAAACCTAAGAAGTTCTGCTGATTGAAAGGAATGGGAACTGTATACCAGGGCTTTTCAACTGGTGGTATGCTTACCACTTGTGGTACATTAGCATGTGGCATGTGGGATGCGGCCATGCCCAGCCAAGTGTAGTGGGGGAGGGAACGAGCCAGCGCAGCGCAGGACTTACTCTGAGAGAGTCTTCTGGAGTTGCAGAGTGGCTGGGGTGGGGCAAGGGCTCCAGGCTCACCTGGAAGAGAAAGGAGGAAGGGGTGGGGGTGGGGACAGGAGAAGCTATAAAAGGAGGCAGTTTGGGTAGGAGAGGGAGAGAGAAAAAGAAGCAGCCTTGGGAGGAGGCAGAGTCAGCTCTAGCTGTACTGAAGGGAAAGGAGGAGGGTGGGGGGAGAGGAGAGATCAAGCAGGCTGGCCATGGGCTGGCAGCAACAAACAAGCAAGAAATGCAGTGGGGGAGGGGTTGCCCTCCACAAGGAATGAAGAAAGGCAGCAATGAAGAAAGGCAGCATTGGCTGGAGGTGAGGGAGGGAGGGAGAGTGTAAGGATTCTTATGTGCTTTTGTGACTTTGAAGTTCTGGGATTTGTGCAATGTGGACTTTGTGTTCTTAAGGAACACGATGTGGCAATTTCTATTTGGCTGATGTCTCCTGTTAGCTTCTATTGCTCTGCTATTGTTAGCTGTAAGTTTTGCTGCAAGGAATTTTGAAATATTTTTCTCCTGAATGGATTTTGCCTGCAACATTCCTTTACTTATGAATGGAGCCATTTGGGGAAGCCAGCAGCCAGTACTTATTTACATTTTGTTTTCTTCCTTAAATGCCAGCTGCGCTCCTTAACTTTCCTTTCTAGCCAGTAGCTAATTCTTAAAGGGGAATGCGCCTTTTTAAGCTAGTTCCCTCAACGGCTTGTCTTTTCTGTCTCTGAAGGCTTTTCCTTGTTTGATGAATATATGGAAGAGGGAAAATATGGTGTTTTTTTTTCAAATTCTTCCTTCAGAAGGAGATGGGCATAAGAGGGAGGCAGGGAAGGAGGGAGGGATGGAAGGAAGTAAGTCTCGCCTTAGCACTTGGTCACCAGCAGCCCTGCCATTGACTTTGCTTGTCAAAAGGTTGCAAAAGGGGATCACATGACCCTGGGACACTGTAACCATCATAAATATGAATCAGTTGCCAAGCATCCAAATATAAATCACCTGACCCTGGGCATGCTGCAATGGTCATAAGTGTGAAAAATGGTCATAAGTCATTTCAGTGCAATTGCAACTTTGAACAGGGTTTTTTTTTTTTTTTTTTTTTGGTCATCAAGTTTTTGACACCTTGCTAGGTGGTACTTGAATATTGCCATATCCTAAAAGTGGTGAAAAGGTTGAAAAGCCCTGCTGTATACAACAAAAGTAGCACAACAAATCACTTGCAAAAAAGAAGAAGGTAAGGACAATTAAGTATTTTTTGAAGACTGCAACTACCAACTATTGCCAGAGTCTGAAAGCTGCACCTGCCTGGCCTAGCTTGCTATCCCCCCACCAGGTATGAGAAGAGAAGCACACTTGTCCCCACAGGGAAAGACACCAAAAACTGTTTCTCACTTAAGTACTGCTCCATGGAAACCTAGCACTTCTAAGGTATTCCATTCCGTGCTTCACCTCAACAACCTCACACTTGCAGGTGAGGAGCATTGGTACCAAGCTCCTCCACTTTAACTTGAAAGTTCTGATTTCTTACATGAATAGGCCTTCCCCTACTTTACAATTTGTCAACCTCAATACTTCCTACCTACTGGAGACAGAAGAGAAAGTGTTAGCTCTGTTAGGAAGGGAAGGAAAGTAGGCAGAGAATGAGAGCCAAGCAATTACAGCCTCTCCAGCCCCTGCCCTGCAGATAGGCATGGCTGCCAACAATGTCCCAGATGAGATCTGATGTTTGCTGCAGCCAGGGGAGGCCAGGGGGGTGTCACAAAAACCTCCCTCCTCCCTTCACATACAATCCATCCCTCTCTGAAGCTGATTTCAAATTCCACTCATTCATTAGGTTTCACTAGCAATGATTCTTCCCCCTCCCTCCTCCCAAAATAAGCAGTGTTTGAATAACTAGCAACCCACAGTTTCTCTAAAGGAGCAGAGTTGGGAAACTTGATGCAACAGCCAGGCTACTGCAATAAATAAAAGGAACAGAACAAATGGCAGAATAGTTAGTGGGTTTAGTGAACAGCAGCAATGTTACCAAGGAAAGGCAGATTCAAAGCTAGCCAAGATTATTACAGAGACATGGCAAGTGGCTCAAAGAAGCCATAGATTGTAGGAGTTCTTTCCATTCTCCATTTTGCCTTTTCAGCAAAAGAATGCAATCCACCAGGCTTAAGGCTAAGATCATGATGCACCCAAGCATGCTACAGATGTTCTCACATGTTCTCCCTCCCTATTTACTCCTGGAGGAAGATAAGATAGGAATGGTCTTCTTAAGCTACACCAACGATCATTCTAATAGACAAACAACACTACTATATATTTCCTACCTCTATATATACAATAGGCTTCAGGCAAATTCCTACCACTTCCCCAGATGGCATCATGTTCCCTGACCTTGCCAGAAAAAAGGTGACCTTTCTCTAATAAAGGGTTCTTCAGACATGTGCAGTCCCAAGCAAGCCCTGCAAGATCTTTGAGAGTTCTAAAATCTATCCAAATGGAAATATTCATTTCAGACAGTGAAAATTATTGCTGGACATGAACATAAGGCAATTCCCAGGAAACCACCTGGCACAACTCTCCTCAGCATGAGGCTGCAAAAGTGGCAGTACTGTTGTGGAAGGACACTTCAGGGTTCAGGTAGAGGCATAAATCTTTTAACATCTAGCCATTTTGTTTTGCACTTTCTGAACCTTAAAAAAAATCAGAGGCCACAAAATAGATGTGGGTGGATCTCCTGTGGCCTCGGGAGCCCTTGGTGCATCCCTGCTCTCTAATATTTTGTAATTCATTTCCTTCTGGCTTCCCTGGCTCCTGCTGAAGTTCAGGAGAAAGCTGGAGGAGGAATGCATGCTGAATTATTAGTCAGTTATGACTACTGTGCTGGAGGAAAGATTCACTTACCATCTTTATGCACACGCATGGCAGAAGCTGTGATGTCTGTTGTCACATTAAAATATGGGAGCCACAGATCCTTCAGTTGACAAAGTGGAAGAGAATGAAAATCACATGGAAGGTCACAGTAAGTGAGGGAGAGAAAGGCTACAATGATTTGTACATTTACTGTATCCTGAATATGTGCACATACATTAACCCAATTTCTGCAGTTTACTGCAGTTCATTTGATCAATAAGGGAGAAATTGTGCAAGCGGCTTAATTTATGTGTTTTCTGGCCACCACAGGACCAAAATCTGGACCAAAATTAACACCGATATTTTACTTCCCCTGGATTTTGGCTATTATGTGAAAACCTTTCAGACTGATGGATTTTGTGCAACAAGTGGTCTTAGATGGAAAAGACTTTCAGCACTTTGTAGCTGATTCCTGTGTTGCTGAGAAAAGGATACCTCAATCTGTTTATCCTGGAACACTTTGTGAATACTGGTGTTGAAGGCAGAGCCAGAGAACATGGAGGTGATGGGATAGGTGAGATCCAGCACAGTTGCAAACACTGAATTCATATTCTGTAGAAAGGATAAATGAGGGCATGAGGCAGGAAACAAGCCATGAAAGACCCAAGACCACTGCATCATGATCTTTCCGGGAACCAGGGAAAGAATGAAGACAGCAATCTAAGTAATTTCTTCTCTGAACAAATGCAATACAGACCACACCAAAGAAGAAAGAGGGGCATTCATTCCAATAAGTATAAAACAGAAATGGGAGGGGGTTAGAGAGTACTGGATGTGACATATCCACATACATTATAATACCTATAGTTAAACCATTTTTATTTAAAAAAAACTGATTTCAACCTGTTGAATTAACATGTTCAAGCAAAAAGACTGTTTACCTATGTTCCATCAGCTGTAAAAATATGGCAGACCCCAAGAAGCCTGGGGATCATGATGCATTTCTTCTGCAGGAGCTCCAAAACACCAATACATGCTGAATCCTTAAGCCAAAACAGCTAATTCATGGCTTCAGGATGAACAATCGCTTTTTGTTGGACATGGAGCATCCTGAGATACTGCAATGTAGTTTGAAGGTGAATAGCTGAAACATGGGGATGTGATTTTCTGTGCATGGATGCATTAGGCCTCCAATCAACATTAGCTCTATTTCACTTTGTCCCCCACTGGAAACAGCCACTGAAAATTCTGAGCTCCTAAATGATAAGGTTGCATTTTATAACACTTTCTTCACCCTTCAACCACTGAAACAGTTCCGCATGAAACAATCCCTCTGTTAAAACAACCTATTGCTTTCTGGCACTTAGGGAGACTAAGCTGGCAAAAAATTCAAAGAAGACAGCTACTCTATCACCTCACTTAATTTCCTTTATTTAGTCTGTGATGCTTCAGTTCCTATGCACCAAACTCGAGACTGAAATTGCTGTAAAGAATCCCAGAACCTTTTCTCAGTTGCCAAAGGTTAGGCTCATGTATTTTGGTAAACAAACAGTGCAAATTTACCCTCATCTATTCAGAAGGAAGTTCAGATGAGATCACTGGGGATACAAACCCATTCAAGTATTTAGAGGACTGTAGCTTCAATAGCACACCTTCTCTTTTTGCTGTTTCTCTCAGCACTGCTATTCTCCTACCTACTTTCCTTCCAGGTTTGAATATATGCTCACCTTTGCCCATTCTCTGGCCCGCTGCTTTGTGCGCACTGCACTCCTCTCCTCTGCATAAAGGGCCCCTATGAAGGAGCCAATCGAGGTGCCGCCAATCAGATCGATAGGGAGACTAGCTTCCTCCATGGCTTTGATCACTCCAATGTGAGAACAACCTCTGTGGGCAAGGGAAGGAACATCCTTGAAGCAAATCTGCTTCTCAATGTATCTTTGGTGTTCTCACCAAGTCATGAGAATGAGGTTGAATCTTTCATGCTTCTACTGTCAGGGAGTGGTTAAAAAAAAGTATGGTGGTAGTAGTAGTCAACACTGATAGGCTAGTGGTGCTAGTCAAAAGTATAAGCTTCCATGTTAAGGAGTACAGACCTCCCAACTTCTCTAAAATCCAGATGGGGAGAACAGTGGGATCCAGAAAAATTAGCCCATGATGGGGGAAAAGTCACATCCTTCCTGCCTTTGGGAGATGCAAGTTCCCTAGTTTTGATGCATTGTTACCCTGAAAACTCTCCTGCCCCTCTTGATGCCAAGCAAACATTTCCTAATTCTTTGGGGCATATTACCTGGCTCCACCACCACCCAGAACCAGAGCGATGGTATTGCCTGTAAGGACTCGTGCCAGACGGGAGAAGTCACTGTGACGATCCGCATTCTTTTCAAAGACTTTCCCATACATCTCTCTCTGTAGTGAAGGATGGGAAGGAGAGAAGGAGTAAGACTATTTTCATCAGCTCAAAAAAAAAAAAAAAAGGGACTTGCAGAGGAAAGTTGTTTAAGTTCATCTGTTCCCATTTATCAACTTTTCCCCTCTACAAAAGGAAAGTCAAATAGTCTTTGGACCCCACTTGGAAGGGGTCCAAGAGCCTGTTCAGCAACTTGCTGTTCTTTGTCTTCAAGGTGATGCACACCAAAAGAAGGAGTGGGGAAAAATCTGAAGTAGGAAATATTGACTCAGGATGAATAGTTTCAGGGGTCTCTGGGGAAAGGAAGCCTACTATTCAGAAAAGTTATAGGGGAATTAACATCCTCAAGAAAAGTGGCTGTTCAGTCTTACCAGGTTCTCCGGCAAAGCAAAAGAGAAAGGCCTGCCTAAGCCAAGAGTGAGCACAGAACAAGATGTAATGGTGAACAAACAGAATAGAGGTACCAGTTTGTTGGGACTGCGTCGAGAAAAGACCCTGCGTGGGCACTTGATGTGTAGATGCCCTGAGCACCAGCTGCGCATGTTGAGCCACTCCACTGTGCGGGCAGGGCTGGGGCCATCTTCACGGTGCAGGAGGATAAGCTGCTTTAGGGCTCGCACTGCTGTATTCTCCAGCATCTGTTCTAGCTGACATAGTGGAGGGAAAAAGGAGAAGTCAAGTCAATCATGTTCATTTCCATCACAACAGAAACAGCTGTCTTTGACTGATTATGTTCTTATACCATCTTTCTTATGGAGCCAGATCAAGAGAGAACCCAAACCCAAGTCTATTATTAGAAGAGGGAAGACAATCAATTAGCCGGAGAAGCAATATTGACATAAAGGCTAATAAAAGATGCTCTCTGATCTTATTGAAATCCATTTTAAGTGCTATGCAGTAGGATATGGGTTTGTACAATGGAAACCATTCATCAAACTCCCCCCTGCCCACCCAAGCAAGCTGATCTACCTGCTCAAGTAGAGTAACTGTACTTCTTAGACCAAGCTTCACTCTAGTCATGATGGACCCTTTACCTCACCCAGTGTAGGCTCTTGGTCCCCCAGGCCCACAATGAGAATGCAGTCAGCTTGCCGGATGCAACGCACTGTCCAAGGAGTCAAGGTGTAATCAGTCTGGTACAAAACAATGCGATGAATGTCCTCTTGCTGAGCTAGCCAGCCAGATAGTCGATATTCATGGATACTATAAGGGAAGAAAAGTAAAAGAAAGTTTTCTCATTCCAGTCTCACTGGCAGCACTGTAAGGAGGGAAAGAGGATAGAAAGTGCCCAGAAAAAAAAGTCAAGATCTATTTCCATCTTGGACTTTACAGGATTCTAATCAACCATCTTTGTTCTTCCAGAAATTCAACACTGCCCAAGAGTGGTTCTCTATAAAGGTATAAAAGCTATTTCCTATTGCTCCTTTTTCTTGATGATGAACATTTTTTTAAAAGATGAAGATTGGCCTCTTTCAAATTATCTTACTTGAAGACTGAACCTATGCACAAACTCATACCGTTATACACATTATACTTATTGTTCAGACTCATGGAAGAACTCTATATTATGTACAAACTCTTTGCTGATTGAATAACTATGATCACCATAAGGGTGACTTTAAGAATCAGACAGAGGCATTAATATTGAGGTCTTGCATGGTTGCTCTGAAAAAAAGCAAACCCTCCAAACTTCAGTTTTATTGTTGGAAAAAAATCAGATATCCAGAAAAAACATTTTCCAAATTCTATTAAAAGACTATTAAATTGTCTATTAAAAGACAGTTTTATGAGCTGCAACCACTTCATCAGATGAAAAGGGGAAGAGCACAAATAAAGCTCAACAAATAAACTAAAAATGTAGCACGATCTAGTTCTATCTGGATAACAGAAAACCCTCCCTGTATTTTTTTGATGCTGCACACAACCTTCTTCTTTGGGAGTAAAGGACTCTCACAGCATTTATGATTGTCATTATGACAATGCACCCTAGATGTTTTGATGGAAATATCTGCCAGTGTATTTCCCTACAGGACACCATGGACAGATCGAATGGGTAAAACAGAATATATGGCAGATTGTGAATACTTTGGGGGGAAAGAGTACAATATGCTACATCCCATCTCCATACGCCAGTATCTATAATTATACGTTTCTGCTTTCAAGCTTAGGTGTGTTCTCAACCCACCTATCCAATGCTGATGCTCCAAGACGAGCACGGATTATGTCACTGGTGAGCAGCAGGGTTGGGCCTATGAAGAAAAAGAAGAATGATGACAAAAGCAGCAGAATGAAGCAACACAAGGAAAGAGACCACTAACAAGAGCTCACCAATTGCATTCAGAGCATGTTTGAGTTCCAAGGTGAAGGCTGCCATGGGCACTTCATCACACACTGGAAGGACTGCCACTGTTGAGAGATTACTAGCTGGATTGGTCAGTTCTGAGCTGGAGGTCATGCCAAGACCTGAACCTATATGGAAGATACAATAATCACTGAAACAAACACCTGAAATACCTAGCAGCAACATTAGATACTCGCAGCGACAACTCCATAGCTTTCTGTCAAGCTAGGATGCTCTTTCAAGCTCTGATGCTTTTGGATCATATGGCAACAAGTTGGTGCATAGCCTGAAGTGGGACACTTACTTGGGAAAGGGCCATGCAACTGCTGCAGATTTCCCAGGATCTTCTGACTCAGTAGGTGGATAAGCCGGGTGACAACCTATATTAGGCATTAGAAGATTGGAGAATGCCAGTGCCCAGAATGCGAACAGTAATACATACAGTATACACAACCATTTCTGAATCTGTGAAATATCCAACTGGTGTGATGCTAGCCTGACCTTCTTAAAATGATTTTCTCACTATTCACATCTAAAAAAGTTTTCACAATGCCTTGCCACTGCATTCCTCCATAGTCTATTAAAATGCAACTCCACATGTATCCTGAAGTATTTCCCCGGATAATCATAGTATATCTTTAACTCCTTCTAGCAAAAGCATACTCTCAGCAATGAATCCACCTTGCTTAGAAGATAGCATGGTTGCTACAACATGGAAAAGTAGCATTTTCTGTCATGATTTCCATTTGTAAACCTTTTGAAGACATGATGATTGTGGGGGATAGTGTTTTTCTCATAATGCAATTGAGCCAGTTCACAGCAGACAAGAAAAACTCAACATGAGGGTTTACTTTCCAGTTCAATTTTGATCATAAGGTTACTCTGAAAAACTAGAAGCCTAAAACATACGTTGTTTTGTTAGGGCTATCCAAAACGTTTGCATAAGAAATTAACAGTGCCATCATTTGTATTATTAACACATGGTGAGCTAAGTCAAATAATGAAGTGGAGTAGTTATCTACATATTCATTTTCCAGATCAGTATCTTATAAAGCTTTACAATCTTTCTTTACATTCAACATTTCTGAACACTTATAAAGCATCTCTATGTCCAAAATATGCATATTATGCCACAGAGATCCTATGCGCACAATGTGCACACACATCCTGAGTGGAACAAAATCTGCAGAATGTTCCAAAGATGCTTTTTCACGAGGCAACTGGACTTTCTTGTTTTGCTTCTCATCCAAGAAGCTTCTTGGATGAGAAGGGAAATGATTTCAAAGAAAAAACTAGAAAGTCCAGTTGCTTCATGAAGAAGCATCTTTGGGACAACTATGACCTGGATAACTGAGAATCTCCATAGACAAAATCTGCGGAACCATTTGCAAATTCAGGAATGAGTTGTACATATCAGAATCCAATTATATTTCATTTCTAGTTATCGACTATGGAAAACCCCATTTCTGCCCTCTCTGGTTTCTGACATACTACGAAGGGGAAGGGGGATGAGCAAAGGGGTTTTATGGCTCTCACTTCCTTCATTAAAACTTCAAAGGACTGAATGTGGATCTCACCAAGAGGACTGACCATAACAATATGGCCATCAGCTTTCATCTACTACTCTCGGAAGTCTCCCTTCTGCCAATCGAGAGAAAAAGGGGGTGGAAAGTAACGCCTGGGATTGTCACTGGAAGTGCTTGGGAACACTTAAAACCTTGAATGGTAGGAGTTGGCCCCTCAGGTCCTGCCTAGAACACCTGAAACCATCTTCTCTTAATAAAGATGCCTGTTGGAAGAGATATTCCAAGAGTTTTGTCTTCTTAAAATGTAAAGTGGGGTGGGTCCTTGCAGTACACCAGGACTGCAAAGCTTAATTCAAGTAGAAAATATGGAGAACCCCTGAGCATTCACCTGAGGATAGCGTCTTTTGATGTTGTTGAGAGTCCCTTCTGGTAACTTGGCCAACTCTGTGTCCCGCACAGCATGGACAGTAGTAGCTCGTACTTGATGGGTCAGAGCTTCTACCTATATCACAAGAAATGGGTCACAGTAGGTAAATCACATCACAGTCTTCCCACATGAAAAAGAGCACTCTTCAGCTAGTGAGAGATGCTCTTCTGTAGGTATGAATACCTAGTCCTCACTTAATAACAATAATTGAGACGGCAATTTCCATTGCTAAGTGTTGTGGCCATAAAGCATGATGTCATGTGACTATGATGCTTAGTAACGACAGTTGTGGAGGTTTCTGGTTACTGTTGTTAAGTATGAATTTCATGATCATGGCTTCAAAATATTCAATTTTTATTAAGGATTTAAATTACAATATTATGATATTTTGATGTATTGTCTCATTTTGTAAGTCCCAGTACTAATTGATATTAAAATCAGCTTAATAATTTTTTTGTTTCTACTGAGAATCTTTAATCTTCTAAAATTTTAGTCCCCCAAATTTAGTGTCTAGTTTTTAAAATTATAAATTTACTTATCTTTGTTATGACTTACAATAGCAAGGTAGCCAAAATATATTTGGTTCCCACAAGAACCTATTTATTTTCTTACAATTAATTCCAAAAGTCAATATTCCAAATTTATGTGGACTCTTAATTTATTTATAATTTTCTTAGACAAAAATCTTATTGTTTTTGCTGTTTAATTCAAATTCACTCTTAAGTTTATAACTAATTTTGTTTTGTTCAGAACTGAAGCTAAACTCACCTGGCAACTTTCCAATGTTATCATTCCAAAGGTCTTAATAGGTTTAAGATGGTTAATAGGCAATTTCTGAAACTGTTTATATAGTGAGGCTTGCAAACCTAGCATCCTTTAAAAGCAGGATGGCTAATCCCTTTGTGAAAGCCCTTTGGTCTAGCTGTCCCTCACTGCATGTAGGCATTTCCCTTACTTAGAACTTACCACTCCAATGAGGTCCCCACGCCCATATTCCCCAACGAGTTCCTTCTTCCCATTGGCCTTTTGAATGACAGAGCGCAAGCGCCCATTCAGCACAATGTAGGTGCAGTCAGACTTGTCGCCTTGCCTGGAGGAAAAGGAAGAATCATGGATTAAATTAGTACCCTTCTCTAATAACCAGTAAAGCCTGTCTTAAACCAAGTTATTTCTGTGCAAATATCATGGCACAGTGTGCATCTAACTGAACGGGATTCTTTAGCAAAAAAAAAAAAAAAAAGGCATCACTTTCGGTGAAGACATGGCTAGCACCTGATACACCCATAGAATCTCCTCTCTCTGGACTGTTGTTTTTTTCAACTTAACAGAAAGAACAGGCTTCCTTTCATTTATCTGATTCTCTTGGGTTAGGGACAGTCCCAGAATCATCCCTCAAAATCCTCTGAAACAGCAACAGTTTGCAAGCAGTTTTAGAAACCGTGCTTCAAAATAGCTGGTGAGCTGAAGCTGAGGGGTGGGGCAGAAATCACGTCATTATTGGATAAAACAGCCATTTTGGGATGTATTTTTCAAACGGACAATAAGCTGTGCCCTTTATTTCCTAATCAATTTATGAGACTACCGTGTTTCCCGAAAGTAAGACCTACCCCAAAATAAGCCCTAGCTTGATTTTTTTGGGGGAGTGGGCCTAATATAAGCCCTACCCCCAAAATAAGCCCTAGTTTTGGGCTTATTTTAAAAATCAAGCTAAGATGGGGGTGGGGGAGTGGAGCTGCCCCACGCACCCTGCACCCACTTACCTTGCAGCCAGGCCTCTCCTCGCCAGCCCACTACTTCTCCGGCATTTCGCAGTCAAGTCTTTCCGGAAGGCCACTGCAGCCAAAAACCAAGCTATGGATTCATTGTTCAGTTATCAGCTGCAGAGGCCTTCTGGAAAGGTCTGACTGCGAAATGAAGGCTGGAACACCATTCTTGGCTGCAGAATGAAGTTGCTCCTTCAGCAGCAGAAGAAGTGGGCTGCCTGGCTGGGGCTGTTGGTGCCGGAGATGAATGGAAAAGCCACCTCTCAAAAATAAGATCTGATGCCTCTTTTGGAGGCAAAAAAAAAAAAAAAAAAGGAAGACCCAGTCTTATTTTCGGGGAAACACGCTATTATCTCTATTAGCTAAAAGAGGCTCTCTTTAGTTACAGCTTATCACTCCTTTCTGAGGCTATGCATCATTTCTGAGATTCCTTTATTATTAAACGACAAGGAAAAGTGTTGCTGGAGGCAGCTAAAATAAGGAGGCATTTTGAAATAAGGATAGAAGTTATGGTCTTAATTTACTGCTTTTAAAATAAATTGTATTGTGTTCTTCTGGTGATTGAAATTTTCCAACTTTCATGAACTCAGATTGGCTAGAAAAAATGAATGAATGAATGAATGAATAAATAAATAAAAATTGTGAACACTAGAGGGAGCTACGAAGATGTTTAACACCGAGCTGGAGTTTGTGGTCATGGACATTTTTGAAAAGCCCATACAGAAAATCATTTATACCATAAATCAGCTAGAGTCCAAAGATACTAATTATACAGAGGATATTAAAAAAGAACATTATCAACCCACTGTAGAAAATTATCAACCCACTGTGTCAACTCTAGAAATGCTGGACAATGCAAATAATGTAACTATATCTTTCAACTATAAATCTGATATCAGTTTTTATTATGGTAATGGTTTGAATACAACCCTCCCAGTGCAACTGAAACAAGAGTGCCAAGTAAATTCACAACGCTTAAGAGGTCAAATTTGGGATTTTTTTCCCTCATGGATATGAACAAGGTCAAGAATTCTTTGAGAAAAAAAGATAGACATCTTAGAGAAGGAAACTTTATTCTACGAGGATTTGCTCCAGGTTTATCTACAATGTCTAACAGAACAGTCTTGGGACATTTTTTTCATGGATATAAATAAGACTGAGAATTTCTTGAAGAGACTTGATAGACACTCCTGAGAAGAAAAAGATGTCATTCTATTAAGACAAGCTGGAGGGAGTGATTTAAATTTAATGATTTAATTAGTTTGGATGGATTTTTATAAGTTTGATATATGTATTGAAATAAAGCTTTAAGGTTGCTTTATATGTATAAAATAAGTTTGTAAATGCGTCTTCTGTCTTTTTATGTAATGCTAAATAATCCCCAGAGTTTGTATAATACTATTGATTATATTTGAAAATAAAAACTGATAAAGATTTACTCCATGAGCATAAACTCGAGGGAGAGATTTGAATTCATGACCTAATTGGAGTTAATTGGACTTATATTGGTGTGATATATGTAATTGAAAGAAAGTTCTAATGTTTTGTGTTCTGGATTTAAAATAAAGAGTTCCCTCCCCCTTTTTATATATATAACACTTGAGTATTTTTTAAAGTTAGTAAAATATTCAAACTAGAAAAAGTGTTTTCTCCCTTTAGGGTTAAAAAATGAAATATAGAGGATTCTCTTAATATGAATTATGATAAAATTAATGAGTTAACAGAAATATATATTGTTCCCCTCAAAGAGAAACAGAGATTGTCAAATTGATTCTTTTATCCAAAGAAGAGACTATATCTAACCTTGTTTCTATTTTGAAATTGCTTCTGGATTTTGGACTTGCAATGAAAAAAAAATAAAACTTTGATTTTGTTTTTGCTAATTAGATAGGTTTATTATTATAGAAATGGCTTGTACATACTGTTGTGTAAAAGAAAGTCACGATTGTAATGTTACCTTCTATTGTGCTAAAGCAGTGGTTCTCAACCTTTTTAATGCCGCGACCCCCAACCGGTCGTAAGTCGAGGACTACTCATCCGGTCGTAAGTCGAGGATTACTCAACTGGTGCAGCACTGTTTGCAGAATGGGACTTTTGGCAGGCTCAGCAGGGCAGAGACAGCCTGGACAATTCCTATTGGCTTTCAAAAGCCAATAGAATAAAAGGGAGTAGCACAGCTAAGGAAAAGGGGAAAAAATGGTGGACTGCGTTGTTTGGCGACCCCCGTGAAATGGTCGTTCGACCCCAAATGGGATCCCGACCCACAGGTTGAGAACCACTGTGCTAAAGAGAGTTGGAAATTGATGGCTTTTTCTTTTCTTTTCGCTCTTTACACCATTTTTTCTACTATTTTTTTTAATTTCTCTTTGTATTTTATAGTTTGATAAACCAATAAAAAGGTTTTTTTTTTAAAAAAAATAGCTAAGGAAAGGTATCAAATGGAGACCAGGGAGCCAAGAAAACAGCCCCTTTCTCTTACCTGTAAAGTGCTCGTCCAGCCTCTACTGCCATCCAATCAATAGCGAAGTCCATTTGACGCACAAAAGGAGACATGCGAGCTGCCACAGTATGAGCCACACTCAATACCACACTTGGCTGTTCCCTCATAACCCTAAGGAGGATTCAGAAGTTACTGGAAGACTACAATTTGCAATATATAGAAGTTCCAGTTCATTTCTCAATTTTGCCAGAGTGGAGAAAGAAATAGATCCAATTTGGATTCAGGGAAGATGCTGCTAGTTAAGAATTACAGCAATGGATGCAGTGAATTTCAGGGCAAAGCTAAATTAATTTTTACTTATTTATTCATTTTGTATCGCTGGCCATCTCAACAAGTGACTTTGGGCAGAGAACAATCATAAATCATAAAACCAATTAAAAATAAAATTATAATGAAAGCGAGGAAATATTATAATTCATAAATGTTAAAACAACCAGGAGGCAAGACCTTTTGCATACTAGGGGCTCAGACCGGGGCACATATAACCAAGTCTTAGGGCCCTTATGAAGGGCCAGCAGGATCATGGCCATCCTGATCTCTAGAGGGAGCGTGTTCCACAAGGCAGGTGCTATGGCAGAAAAGGCACACCTCCTGGTCCCGCTAGCTGGCATTCCCTGACTGGCAGGGCCCAGAGTACGCTCATCCTGCCAGACTGGACTAGATGGGTAGAAACATCTGGGGAAAGACAGTCCCTCAAGCAATTCAGTCCTAAACATGAAACAGCACTTTTAATTGTACTCAGATGCACATTGGCAACCAATGCAGCTCATGGGGTAGAGTTATTATATTTGCCAAATAACACACCATTTACTGTATGTGCAGCTGTATTCTGCACCAGCTGAAGTTTTCAAATGCTCAAGAGCAGCTCCATGTAGAGAAGTCCAGATTTATGTATTCCTTTAGTGGAAATTTATCTGCTCCATTAGTCAGAAAAATATGTATACCGTCTTAGTGGAAAATACTGTAAACTGTATAGTTTGTACACACATACACACACATACTTATGTATATATCAGCTTTATCTAGCAAGAAGCAGAGATGAAAAATGAGATGTGGCAGAACAATATTTCTATACAGCTCAACATTGTCCACTAAGAATTCCTGATTTTCACTGCCCATCCTCATATTTTATCCACTTCAGTCAGGCTCCTTGATTTCAAAAGAGCAGCATGCTTAAAAAGTCAGGCTTTGGATTCTGATAGAGCACCTTGCTTTTAAAGAAAGATAACCATTATTTTTAGGTAGCTCCTTCTACTGGAGAAGGGAAAGAGAGGAAAACTACACCAGAGCCATGAAAGCCCTTCCTGAGCAAAACCACACTGACAGCATAAAACCACAGACATAACCATTCTTTTCTCTCTATTTTACCTGTGAGATGACCCAACCAACCTCACAGCAGAGAACAGCAAATGACTTAGGCTAAAAGAACAGGAGCAGTTGCCACATGTGAACATGGCTAATGATTGGGAAATACATGATGGCAGGAGAGCTAGGCAGAAACCAGGCACGTTTACGCACATGGTACCCACTCATAAAAGTCAGACTTGGAGATCTTAAGAAAAGTACAATCACGATTTGCTTTGATGGTGAAAATCAGTGGTTCTCCAGTAAGCACTGCTAGCTGGCCCACCATCTCCCCAGGTTGCACCAGGAAGAGGCACACGTCTTCAGCCTTGTCAATCATCCGCTGGTAAACATGCAGACAGCCCCAAAGTACAAAGTGCAAGCTGACATCCTGCCAAAAAAGACCAGAATAAGCAGCCTCTTCCAAGGGAATTGGGTCACCACTGAGCAGGATTCAGAAGCTTTAACAGATTTCTAGAAGTATCTTTTTTAAACAAACAAACATCTCTTTATATCTCTTAAAATTTAAATTGATGAGGTTGCTAAAAAGCTGGAAATTAGTGTTTTGAGAGAAGTGTTTTGTACCCAACCCTTCTTCCTTTCCTGACAAATTATTCCTCTCCTTTTCTAAGCCACAATCAAAGTGGCCAGATTCTTATTAAAAGCTACAGCATAGGGTTCTTACACTGTGGAAAGAAATCTTCAACAATTTGAACTGTGAAGAATCCACATGTGAATATACACTGAAATTCAACCCACATAAAATGCTTCTTGAGAATTCTTTTCTTCTAGAACACAGTCCATCCAACATTAGGTCCTGATTACAGAAAAAAGCTATTTTTGTTTAAGAAAGCCCTCCTTTCATCTTTTTTTTACCTTTAAGGGGAGGAGAGATGCTACAGTTATCATATTTTTCTCTGACTAAGCTAATTTATGATCTTGTATGCCATCTACAATACTTACTTGATCTCCTTGACGTGCAATTACTGTTCCTGCCTTGGCATGATGCAAAAGCACCCGATTATTTAGTAAGGATGAATCCTATGGAGAGAATGGCAGAGTGATATTAGGTGTCTTCCCTGTTTGGAATAGGAGCTGAATCCATTTCACCTCAATTACACCTTGTAGAACAGAGTCAAGAGTAAAATCAGGAAACTAAGTCTCTTCTCTATAGCTTTCCTAAAATATCATCATTCTCTAAAAGCTCCAAGGCGAAGCTGTTTCCACAGCTTCTTTTTTAAAAAAACTGAAGAAAATAAGTTTCAGCCTCACATGTTCCTATAGGAGAACAAGTAATTTACTAGTACTAGAGAACATTTGCAATATAGGTAGTCCTTGCTTAACCATGGCCCCATAGTAATTTGGCCTGCAATTTCTGTCACTAATGGACACTTGTAAAATGTGACATCTTGTAATCACATCACTTAGAGTTGGCAATCCCAGCAGTCTCTGTTGTCACTGTTAAGCAAGAATCACAGGTTGTGAGAGTTCACCCTGGGCGTCATGGCGACACTGATGAAAGAAACCAGAGCTTCGGTTTCCTAGTCTGATTTTGCTTTGTCTGGAGACCCAAAGAGGTCAGAAAGTTGCCCTGGAGAGGCAACAAGGAGGAAGGGAAACCTTGGGAGTTCGGAGCCAACAGCGGTTGGCCCGAACGAACTGAGGAAACTCTTTAAACAGGTGGAATAAAGGCTGCCGGCAAGTACGCAGACAGCCCACACCACAGACAGCTGAGTAAGAAGTGAAGAGTTGCGGCAGAGCTGCCGAACAGCTGACTGTCAACAACGTGTTTGATCTGGGTGAGATTTTTCTTTATTTCTCTTCCCTATGGACTTTTAAAATATAATTCCCTGAACTGGATAACTTTTAAAAGTAAAAAACCCAGGAAGACTTGGGATGAAGAGAGTTAAAAGAGGCGAGAAATCTGGAATGGGGGAACAAAATTAAGGAATATAAAAATATGCAGAAAAGATTCAAGACTGATTGAAAAGAAAAAAATGATAATCTGTTGTTAGCTAGTTTTTCTGATTTGGGAAGATTTTTTTTACTTTGTTGTGAAAGAGCATTTTAAATAAGTTTTACTACTGGATAGAGACACTATAACTAATGAGGACATCTAGTGGTGAAGGAAGATACTACAATAATACAGAAAAAATCAGAAGAGTGATGACCTTGAAACAACACCTGTGCTAAACAAAGAACATCCTGTTTTTCTACAAAAGAAAAATCAATGATTTTTTTAATTACATCATTCAACTTTGGACATAACTATTATAGAAACTATTTAGAGACAGGGCTTTTTTTCTTTTCTTTTTTTTTCTCTAATATTTTTGAACTGACAGAAATATTTAGATTAGACTTATGCAGTTGGTGTTTTTTATTTTGCTGGATTACAGTTTAAAGTAGTTAGCTTTTTTTTTTTTAAAAAAAAACATGGATTAGCCTAAAGCAGTTGGCTTCCTTCTAAACCTAGATTATAGCCTAAAGCAGTTGGCTTCTTTTTAAATTTGGATTATAACCTAAAGCAGTTGGCTCCCTTTTAAACTTGGAATACAGTCTAAAGCAGTTGGCTCCCTTTTAAACTTGGATTATAGCCTAAAATAGTTGGCTCCTTGTTAAAGTTGGATTTTAGCCTAAAACAGCTGGCCTTTTTAAAGCTGGATTATAGCCTAAAGCAGTTGGCATTTTTTTTCTTTCTTTTCTCTCTATGGATTTATAAAATTTGCCTGATTAAACAATGAGTGCACCAAACCTCACTAAAATTACAAAAAAAAAAAAAAAAAAAAAAAAAAACCTGTTTCTGCACCCTCTTCTGGAACATCTAGTCCAGCAAGTCAGGGATCTATTGAAGCAATGTTACAATGAGAGAAGGCAAACAACTCCAAAAAGAGATGCATGCGACCTTACAATTAATTCAAGAAATGATGCAGAAGAATCATCAAGAAACAAAAAGCAATGTTGATAAGCTAAACAAACAAATGCTTGACATAAAGACACAATTTGAGGTTCATCAACAAATGATCCTTAAAAATGAACAAAGAATTCAGAAGGTGGAAGATCAATCAGAAGATACTGGGGGAAAAATCGAAGCACTAATGACAGAGATGAAAGATTAGAACAATCAAATCAAAACCTAGAAGGAGCAGTTGCTGCTTTGGGAATGGAAAAGGTGGTACACTATTTGAGATTCCAGAACAAACTCAAAGATAAAGAGGAAAATATAGCCGAAGTGATTATTAATCTATTAGCAGAGGCCCTAGAAATGGAAAGACTGGAGATGCAGCAAGAAGTGGATGAATGAATTCAAGTTAGGCAAGGAAACACAAATTGTCCAGAGAAGTCCATGTAAGATTTATGAAGAAAACAATGAGGGATGAGATATTAAGAAGAGTTAGAGATGATCCATTACAATATAAAAAAATAGTAGTGCTGAAACAGATTCCCAAGAGAATAAGGGATACTCAAAGACAACATCATTTCTTGACTACAAAACTGATTGCAAAAGGAGTAAATTTTAAATGGCTGATGCCAGAAGGGATTTTAATCAATTGGAATAACACAAGAAATTGTTTGGACTCAGTGTGGAAGGCAGATGATTTTGATGAAAGATATAGAGCATTTCTGGGAGAAAGAACACAATATCAACAAGAGGGTGGAAAAAGCCAGAAACAAACAGAACAAACAATAGAGGAAACAATTACACAGGTGGAAGTGGAAAAAGAGAAGATGAATCAAGAAGATGAGGGAATAATAAAAGAGCAGAGGATTATGAGATCAACAAGACCTAAATATAAGTAAACCAAAATGGAGAAGGAAAATTGATTTTTTTCAGTGAATATAAATGAATTGAATTCCCCATCAAAAAGAAAAAGAATTTTCAAACAACTACAAAAATTAAACATTGATATAATTTGTTTGCAAAAGACACACACAAAAAAACAACATCATAAATTTTTGGAAAATCCAAAACTTGGAAAACTTTATTATACATCAACTCAACAAAAAAGAGTGGAATAGTTATATATGTCAAAGAGACAATAGATTCCAAAATGATTTATGCAGATGAAGAAGGAAGAATATTAATGGTAGAAATATTTTTAAATCAAAAACAGATACTTTTGATAGCAATATATGCATCAAATAATAAACAAGAATTTTATCAAAACTTTCACAGAAAAATAGTAGAAATGGAATATCAAAATATATGCTTAATTGGGGATTTCAGTGCAATAGCAAATGGGACATTAGACTATAAAAGCAGTAAATCATGGAAACAAGGAAGAAAAAAATTACCTAAGACTTTTTTCAATAAGATAGAGAAAATTGGTATACAAGATATCTGGAGAGAAACGAACCCAGGAAAATCACAATACACATTTTATTCTAAAAGTCATAAATCTTGGTCCAGAAATGATATGATTTGGATGACGTCTGAATTAAGGCTTAATATGCAGGAAATGGAAATAGAATTAGGTACTTGGGCAGATCATAACCTCTTAAAAATGGTGTGGAAAGGTGTGGAAAGGAATGCAGAAAAAAATAAGATGGACTTTGAATCAATCTATATTAAAAGAGAAAGAATTTATAGACTTAGCAACAAGAAATGGATTTTTTCTTTAAAGAAAATAAAAAAGAAGATACAACATTACAAAATGTACAGGATATAGCCAAAGCATATTTTCGAGGTGTAGCGATAACATACATGGCACAAAATAAAGAAAAGAGACAACAATGTCAGTTGTTACGAGAAGAATTAAAAAAATTAGAACTTGAACTACAAATAAACCCACAAAAGAAAATATTGAAAAGACAAATGGAAATAATAAAACATAAATTAAATTTAATAGAATCGGAACAATTGGCACAACAAATTAAAAAGGCAAAGCAATTTTTTTTGAAAATGCAAACAAACCAGGAAGATGGTTAGCTTATAAACTTAAAAAACAGAAGGAGAAAAAATTGATAAACAATTTAGTAGATGAAAAAGGCTGTTTACAATTTAAAAATGAAGCAATAAAAAAGATAATTAAAGAATACCATAAGAAACTGTATGACAAAGAAGAAACTCCATGGGAGAAAATGACTCAATATATGGAAGAAAATAATTTACCAAAAATTCCAGAAAACTTTAAGACTATGTTAAATGAAAACATAACAATGATGGAATTGACAGAGGCAATAAAAAGACAAAAAAATGAAAAAACACCAGGACCAGATGGATTCCTGGCAGAGTTTTATGAATGTTTACAAGATATATTAAGTTCACCATATGTAATGAACTTTTATTGGAGGCAAAACTCCCAAATACATGGATAGAAGCAAATGTTACTTTGATACCAAAAGAGGACTCATATCTGACCCAGATCAAAAACTATAGACTGATATCACTACTGAATGTGGACTATAAAATCTTCACTTCAATAATAGCTGAGAGGCTGACTTCCAGTTCCGGATCACGGCATGTGCAGTCTAGCGCAGAGCTCCCTGTCTTCGCCGGCTGCTTTCCCTCTGCCGGCAGACCCTTAATCGGGTTGAAAAGTTGCCCTGGAGGGGCGACTACGTCGAGGAGGCCCTCGTTGACTGCGGAAGGGCGGCAGCTCCTTCCACGGTCCGAGCTAGCTCCTTAGGGCTGTCGGAGAAAAGATCGGCCAGTAAAATGGCCAATCACCTAGTTGCAGCAGCCGAAAGTCAGAAGAACTGCTAAGCGTGAAGAACCACCATGGAGAAATCCGGGTGAGATCTTTCCTTCCCTCTCTTAGCCTCAACTATTTTCCTGTAAAAAGTCTCTGAATGACTTCCCTGCCCTAAGAGAGCAGCGTTTGTTTACTTGAAAAAAAAAAGCTTTGAACAAAACTATAAAACAGTAAATTTTTATTGGATATTTAATTTTTTGGATATGTTGGGGCCCTGAAAAAATCCTTATTATAGAACATTATTATTATTTTATCTACTATGCTGGAGATATTTGCTTTTTTTTCTCTATTTTCCTAATGAGATAAAAAAAAAATTTAACCCGGAAAAAAAGATGTTACAGCCTACTG